GGTGCTGAGGATGGAACCCAGTGCCTCACATGTGCTAAGCAAGTGCTCTACCACTGAGCCACAACTCCAGCCCTATTTATTTATTTTTATTTTTTCTTCTTAGTTATACTTCTGAGTTTCCTCCATATACTACCAGGCTCTTTTAAACACTTAAAAACTTGCTATTTCTTATTTAACAACGTGCATGTCAATAATGATCATTAAAAACATTAAAAAGTTTGGTTCTATACTACTACTAATAAATGTTGGTGAGGATGTGGGGGAAAAGGTACATTCATACATTGTTGATGGGACTACAAATTAGTGCAACCACTCTATAAAGCAGTATGGAGATTCCTCAAAATTTAGGAAGAGAACCACAATTATGACTCAGCTATTCCATTCCTCAGTATACATCCAGAAGATCTAAAATCAATATACTATAGGAATGCAGCCACATCAATGTTTATAGCAGCACAATTCACAATTGCCAACCTATAGAGCCTATCTTGGTACCTGTTGATAGATGAATGGATAAGGAAAATATGGTATTACTCAGTCATAAAGAATAATGAAACTATGACATTTGCTGGTAAATGGATGGAAATGGAGAAAATAATTCTAAGTGAAATAAGACAGAATCAGAAATTAAAGAGTCATATACTTTCTCATATGCAGAATCTAGAACAAAAGAAGAAAATAAAGAAAAAGAAGGTGACCCATGAAGATGGAGTAGAGAAAGGGGATTGAGGGGGAGGGAGGAGCGATGGGATAAGGGCAGAACAGTGGAATGAATCTGACCCAGCTTTCCTATATACATATATGAATATACCACAGTGAATCTCATGTTCATATATATTCACAAGGTATTAATTTAAAAACAAACATATATAAATAGCAGAAAGATCAGTAAAGAGTAGAGGAAAGGGAATAGGGAAAGGGAGGAGAAGAGGGTAAGGGAAAGTACTGGGGAATGATATTGGAACAAATTATATTCTATGCATGTATAATTATGTCAAAATTAACTCTAATATTATGTATAACTATAGTACACTAATAAAAATACATTTGTGCCTTTTGGTTAATATAAACACTGTCTTAATTTGGAAACAAATGGAAACAAACTGTGGTCTAGAGATGCAAGCTTATATGTTATGTATATATTCAGCTTTATTAGATTCCACCAAATACTTTTCCCAAAACTTTATGAAGTTATACTCTTTTTGGTTTTGGGAGGGAGCAGGGTATTGGTGATTGAACTCAGGGTCACTCAACCACTGAGCCACATCCCCAGCCCTATTTTGTATTTTATTTAGAGACAGAGTCT